CTATTTAAAATGAGTATCAACTCATTTACTCAGATGTAAAGAAGACTCATCTCTGGGTAAAATTATGGACACTTACTCTGATATAAAAAAGTCTTATATCTGAGTAATGTCATGGGCAATCAGTCAGAGGTAAAGGAGACTCAACGCCACATAAGTCATGGACACTCACTCAGATGTAAAGAAGACTCGTCTCTGAGTAAAGTTATGGACACTCACTCAGGTGTAAAGAAGACTCTTTTCTTAATAAAGTCACGGGCACTCCCTCAAAGATAAGGAAGACTTATCTTTGATTAAAGTTATGGATACTCACTCAGGTGTAAAGAAGACTCATCTCTGGAGTAGAGTCACAAGCACTCACTCAGATGTAGAGAAGAATCATCTCTGAGTAAAGTCACAGGCACTCACTCAGTTGTGAAAAAATACTCATTTCTGAGTAAAGTCCAAGTACTCACTCAAAGTTAAGGAAGACTCATCTTTGAATAGAGTTATGGACCCGCACTGTTACGTCTAGGTACAGTACCTGAATTTCTCCTTAATCCTCATGACAGAGCTATTTTGGGCCAAGCTAACTAGCCAAACTAATTCTAGCGCGGGCCGGAGCCCATGGACAAAATGTATAAACATTAAAAATCATGAAAACAAGGAAAAGCTTTTTGAGTTAAATGGGTACTCTGCCAGCACCAATGGCAGACACCGAAACGATGTATGTTTACCAGGTTAAGTTCAGGCCATAATTTCAAGGATAAATACTACGAAGTCACTTGGCTAGTCCCCAAACTTGTAATAGAACTAAAATAATGAAATTGAAATAAAATTATGGCCTAATTCTAACCTGGCACATATAGGACATTTGAGTGTCCGCCGTCCTGGTGTACATACTTCTGGAGCGCCGCTACATGTGTACGTACATTGTTCGCAATGTAATAGCATTTACCGGGTAGTTGTTGTAATATTTCACAAAGTTTGTAAATCATTCAGAACTCTGCTCAGCCTTAAAATATTCATGTTCACTAAAACTAACAATTGCGCATCGTAATATTTTCTTAGAGTGAACACTGTTAATAATGTGTGCATAAATAGGTATTATAGTAAAAACACAGAACTAAAACAAATACATAGCATAATTTCCCCATAAAAATGACAATACCCCTCCTCCATAGAAAATATTTCATTCACGGTTGGAAACATAGCTTTAACCGCATTGTTTAAGGCATCCCTGAAGAACACTCACCTGTTCAAGTCTTGTAAAATCCTATTTGCATGTCCATTAGTCTTCACTTTAATTTCGAGAGGCATTTTACTGATATTTCTAACTAATGACTCTGCAATTTAAAGCTAAATAAATCAGTTATAAAATGCCATGTAGAATTTGTCATAGGTATTCAGAAGACAATTTAAATTTCTCTCAAACGTATGTCTCATTTTTTATCAGAAAATTAAACACAGTTATAAGGAACATTGAAAATCAAGGGGTAAAAATTCAAACAAATGCTTCAGAAGGGCTTACCAACATTTCAGAATGGGTATTTAGGACTATGTGGGTTAATAGCACTGTTTCTCAATCTATGGTCATGACCTGAAAACTGGTTCATCTGAAAAACTGACTTGACCGTCATGATTAACTATTTATTCGAGCTCTCCAGAATTAAGTGAACCAATATGATGGAGACCGGAAGCGTAGTATGTGTACCAGGTTCCATATAACTAAATATTTGGAACATTCTAGAGATTTAGTCCATACTGTAATGGATTGCAAAACTCTGGGACTTTGGTACGATTTGATCTCAACCTAACCCCATAACCCAATATGTTAGAAATAGCAGCACAAGTTCTTATGAATTGGGATAAAAATATTCTGAACAGTCATGCCTGACTTCCCATTTTTAACCATGTGCAGACTTAGTACATATTAGGTTAAACATGATTGCTAAGGAACTCAGTAAAGTGGCTGCATTTTTACACTTATGCTGAACCCCACAGAAATAAACAAAATCAAATACTAGAATATCTGTCCAGTGTCCTCGCATCAGCTCTGAGAAGCTAGCAAAAATTATGGAATTTCAGCTGACAGAATTGCAAAAAATCACACGCATAAAAACATATGCCTGTATGTTCATACAGAAGGGGTGGAACAACCAATAGTAACATGAACCTTTCAAAAATGGCAAGAGATTTAGAAACCGTATTTTAGATAATGATGAAATGTTCTTTACGACGCTAAGACTTGCAAGGTAACATGGAATAATCTCATGGAAGCGGGTTTCTCAACGCTGTATTTGTAAGACTTCCATACTTATTCAGGGGAGTAGGAAAGAGACAAGACGGCTTAAAAAGTGAACCTAGTTACTTTTGTTTCACATTAATAGACTCGATAGTGATTTTAGTTTACACAAAAAATTAACAAAAGGTGAAAATACAGAGGGCGGCTCAGATATACCTCGACTGCAGAGTGAACTGTTGAGTTGTCTGTCTTGTCGCATTTTTTATGGCAGCATTTATAGACTATAGAGGCGTATTTTCAATCTTTTCAGGATCCCAATGGCAAGAAACACAATTATCCTCATACTCTAGAATATCCACTCCCAAAAGCAGATAAATTTTTAAACATTCATCGGTACTCCCGAAGTATGTGAACCAAGATGGCGGACGCTAGAATGTGTACCAGATTAGGGTTAGGTCATTATTTCAGGTACAAATACTATGGGAGTCACTTGGCTAGTCTCCGAACTAGTATAAGACCTAAAATAAGATAAATTGGAATCAATTTATGGCCTAATCCTAACCTGGTACACATACCACGTTCCGGTGTCTGCCATCTTGGTTCACATACTTCTGGAGCGGCTTCATCTTACTGTCTTATTAAGAATTCTTTCTCTGCCAGTCTTCATCCAAATAACTATTTTAAGTTATAAGTTTATTTAGACTACATTCATAATGGGAATTAGAATAATTAATAAAAACAAAATTTTGAATCAGCATTGTTTCTATAATTGGTAAAGCTATTCTATTTTAATATTAAAATAGATAGATTAGTTTATGCCTACAGGCAGACCAGCGCATACAAAATCCAGAATCTCCTGAACTATCATTGCCTGACTGCGGAATGAACAAGGATACATACCGGTACGGTACTGCAGTACCGTACTGGTACCGGTACCGGTACGATACCGGTTCCTACAGGCCTATGGCTATAGACAAGACAGCAAACAACTGCCTGAGAAAAGAACGACGAAAGAAAAATTAAGGAGCACAAACGGTGAGTAAAGCCTGCAATGCAATAAAAAACAATGCAGATTATAACAATATTTATTATAACAGAGCGGCCTTCAACGAACATTAAACTAAAAATGAAACATGCAGGAGCAGACGTTAACGAAATGCGTTGTCTAAGGAATGCCGTTACTATGGTGACCCTGCTCGATGGTGCTTGACGTCGTATTTTGTATGTAACGGGTTGCTGTGTGTTATTTTTTGCCATAATCAGTCAGTTGATCAACAGTTTATTTTTTGATCATACTGGAAAGCACACTAGAAATAACAAATTACGATAAAATTACTAAAAAGCATTTCTGACCCACTCAGAAAGGTAATTAATTCCCTACCCCTGAATGAGATATTAGTAGTCGTGACTGAGTGTAATGCAGGGTGGTACAGGTAACGTCGATTACGACGAATTTCTCCACCATCGAGTCCATGCTTCCGAAAACAAATAACTAACTAATACCCGTACCCGACATGAAACATTTTTTTTTTGTAGCAAAATCTCCCGAAACAGAATACACTAGTGTTCACTGAGTTCTACCCGACCTAGGCGCCATTCGCCAAACTTCTTTATCGTTTAACGTGATAGGTAAGCACCCACTTTCTCGTAAAGGCAAAAATGGTATTCTCGAAGTATCGTTAATATTCGGGAGAAATTATTCGAGAGAATATAGAGAAAGTGCCTTCTTCTCTCATTTTACCGAGAATCGGTATTCACGAAAGATCTTTAACGCGCCGGAGTGCTCGCAAACTAACGAGGGGAAAATTTTGCTCGTTATCAGTAGTTCGGCATGTTCTTAGCATGAATTCGGCTTAAAATGTATGTGTGTTTATTTGTAACAGTACCAACATAATTATTAAAAGGTATAACTAAGATAGGATACATGTTCAATACCTTACTGGCCCAAGACAAGTATGTGCCACACGCACACCAACAAATGCTGTGGTGTTTGCATACTTCGTGAAAAATTGGTATCAAAAATCCTTAAATGGCTAACTTAGGTAGTGTAGACTGTAGTCTAGTAGATGTAGACCCACCTATATATGCCAACTAACAGCGTACAAACATCAAATATGGGATTGCATTCATTCATCTATTTTATTGTCGGTCACAGAAGTAGTTCACAATATGTACTCTAGCATTTATTTCATATATCCATAGATTACTGCTATATGACCCAAATTTTAAAACAGTCTGTAAACAGGGAAACCTTACAGATCGTCGCAAAATGAGCTCGTCCGCTCCTGGCGGCTAGCGGCAGTGACTGATACGATTGAGAGATCATACAGTGGTTTTTGCTCAACGACGACCATGCGTTAGATTCCGAGAGCGTGAAGTTTTTACGAGATGTTTCGTGAATCGCACTTAACGAGATTTCGTAACGCAGTTAAGAGACAAAGTTACGTGCTCGTAAACGAGGCTTTTTACGAAGTTTGGCGAATGGGGCCCCAGGTTAACTTTGAGACTGATTTTCAAGCTTTCCCTAACTTTTTTTATATATCAGTTTTCAGTAAAGTTTCGAACAACGGACACGAGAATAAAACAGATGAATTCTAAATTCTCTTTTAACTTTGAGAACTTTAATAAAGATCAAGAAATAATCAGACTCGAAATCAAGGCATGATTCCGCCTAACACATATACCGACCTCATGAAATAGAAGTTAAAGGGAAATCGTTGGAAAGTTCTTTTCAGGTCGATTGATCGATAAGAAAATTTAATTGAAGAAGAACCCGCTTGAAGAACACAAAGAACAATATTTCATACCTAGATAATATTCAATGGCATGAAAACTGAATGGAAATAATAACTTTTCATTGCAACTAGCTATTCAAACACTCGTTTCCAACGACATATAATATTCGTGCCAAATTCCACGTAACAAGGACATCATATTCCACATTCTCCAATTTGCCAAAAATTAATTTTCAATGGTAAGTAAGCTAAATCAGGATTATGGAGTCTGAGCCAATGTAAGAAGGTTCATAAACTCTGTTTTCCTGCCGCTGAGAGCAAGATTCGAAAGGTCCATCAACCCCAAGGCTAGTTTTTTTAATAGGCCAAAATTTTCTGCGACTACGCAACCGTGTTATGAATGAAATTCTCTCAGAAATGATACAAAAGGTGTTGAATACAATCAAACATTTAAAAAAAATTTTCTCAGCATCAGTTGTAAACATATCTTTATCTTTGTCCAGTGAGTTAATGTTGCTGGGAAATGAAGAAAACTATTTAATGACAGTAAGTAATGCAGGAATTCATTATAGAAGTATACAAAGTTCACTCACTGGTAACACAAGTACCCATCGAATGTCAAATATCTATCATACAATTTCATATTAGTAAGAATACAAACATAAACTACAAGTATGTCCTTAAATGGTAACTGACTATTCTCTGTCATATACAATCAAATCACTTCAAATTAATTTTCACTGCATCGAGTATACTCAGTTTCATGTTCTTCATGTCAATCATCTCCCATTGATTCTTCTTGAAATCAAACTTTTCCATGCTTCCTGAACTGAAAAATACAGAGGAGATATTCCAGTTCTGCAAGAAAAATGGTTCGTGGAGTGATTGTTAGGCTACTCATTGAAAAAATATTCAATTTCTATTTTGATTCGACTATATATGAAAAAAGTACGAATGACCGGATACTGCAGGTGGGAGACTCTGATTTAAAATTTTTAGCCAGCAATATGAATATACTGCTTCTTCTATCCGCACGAAGAGTTAAGCTCAAGCCAACAGCGAATATCGATCCAAAGTTATGAATATATTCACAAAAAATGTAAAGATATCTGTTTATTGGTGTAAGCGTCGACAATATAGATAGACTCTGGCTAGATTGGTCCTAAGCTTGTAGTGAGGAATACAGGCGAACAAATATTTATTTGTAAATAGGTATTTCGGAACAAAATCTCCTGAAACAGAAGACACTAATGCCTACTATGTTGTAGTTCAATACTCTACCTATACATTCCTCCAACTGCGTAAATATTTGTATCAATCACAAAAGCATTGAACAAGCTACGTTCAGTTAACATGGGAGTTACCATAGACCACACGTTTGTTGAAATATCATAGCGTTCAACAACAGTTGTCAAGTGATTGTTCGTCTCTCCACCTGAATGAAATAAACAGTTTGTTAATGTCTGCTTGCAATTTTGTCTGAATGATACAAAACAATGTTTATCCATCTATTGACAATTACAAGACAATAAATAAATAAAAAGGGAATAGTGAACTAACATGTTGGCAGGTAACAACTGCAAGGTGATAAATATAATGCGGAAAATTCAACTAGCCTGAACTGAAGATTTTGGAACCCGGTATGAATGTCAGAATATCACTCCGATTTCCAACCCTAACTAGTCTAATTTCTAGTAAGAAGTACGCAACAGTACCGTACGTAATTATGAGTTTACAGTTTACACGGCAATCGGATTGACCTTTGCATTCGTGTAAGTATATAGGTACACAAACATTTCAACATGATTTGTCGCATAACAATATAATTCTGCGACCTTGCAGAATGACATAAATGGAATATTAGTAGTTCATGACGATGTTTGAACATAATGGCACTGCATTTGATACCTCAAAGCACGGTCATTGAAATATTCTGGTTAATTGCTATTTTAAGTAAAACTAAATATTTTTTCTCGAGTTTCCTACATTTTTAGCAACAAACACCAACCTACCTAGAACATATATATTTCCTTCATTTTCAACAGCTGCGACCCATCCCTTTGCTTCATTCATGGATGCAACAAATGACCAAGTTGATGATGTTGGGTCAAATCTTTCTACTTGGTTGGTGTAACCACCAATGCTGTATATACAACCTGAAATTAAACAGGGAATATTACTTTAAAGTGTTTTCTGCATTCTGGTATTCGATGAAAACTTAGGGCAAACTAATAAATCCGATATCTGTTGGCAGTCATTTTTTAGTTACCGAAGTTTATAGCAAGTTTGCTTCAAAACAACACTTTGTAAAAGCAACCACTGATATGAAACGACCTACTGGTCTGTTGAAAACGGTATTTTTTCTTGTTTGGTTTAGACCAGCGGTTTGCAACAGGAAAAGCTATTTAGTGACCGCAAAGCTATCTAGTGTGGCCCTTGTCAACACTTAAGATTTTTCCCCATCAAGCATAAAGAGTTAATCCGACAGTTCATGTTTAAATAATCGCCCACATGGGTAAAAGTACATGTTTTTATGCCCTTTTTGATGTGGTAAATACTTCGCCGTTTGCCTGATGCCTTTATTACTGTAAAGCAGAGCATTTATTGGTCCAGCTAGATTTCTTAAGTTGGTTATATGGTCCAGCGACAATTCCATTTATTACCCTGTTGTATAACTGCCTGTTTCGAGTCAGTTCAATGTATATGACATTTTTTTAACGCTCCCGAAGTATGTGAACTACGATGGCGGACACCGAGACTTAGTATGTGTACCAGATTACGGTTAGGCCATAATTTATTCCAATTTTCCCTATTTTAGTTCTATTACGAGTTCGGGGACTATCCAAGTATTTGTACCCGAAATTATGGCCTAACCCAACCTGGTACACATACTACGTTCCGGTGTCCGCCATCTTGATTCACATATTTCGGGAGTACCCATTTATTTATTAGACAACACCTTCTAACCTCCAGCACCCAGTGCTGTTAAAGTTACACTGTTGAGATTTTTGTCTTTTACTTTTTCCCATTTGTTGCTTGATGGCTCGAACTTTTCAACTAATTTTGAGTAATCATAGGAAGAACCAACAACGTAGAGGTTTCCTGTAAACAATTTATATTTCAGACCAATGATAGAAAGCAAATGATACTTGTAAAATAATAGAAGATGAAGTAAAGAACATATCATGTCATAATAATAGATAACACAATGACAAAACATTCACTTAAAAAATAAATCTTTATGGGATATATTCAAACATGTAACTAGTAATCTTAAAACAGGAGTGTTAGTGTATTGTATAATAAACTCAAGTCCTTTAGATTTTCAAGTCCGGATCTGTGTGTTTTAGCAATGTGACTCAATCCTAATTATTTTGGCAATTTTTGTCTTGGCATTTACATCTTATCTTGTCTGAACTCAAATATATGATCTTACGAAGCAACTACTATTTCTTACAGAGATAGATTGTGTTATAATTCTTCAATGGTGTTAATATGAAACTATAATTTGTATTTGTACACTTTGATTAAGTGACGAGTTTTACAAATCAGAAAAAATATCAGTATTTTGTGTACAACGCGTTCAATTGAATTTTGGGTCACCCACAATGAAGTGATATAGTTACAATACAAGGCTGAACTGGAATTAGATACCAAATGCTATTAAAATATGTTTTCCATTAATTGCATAAACAGACCAGTACTAAGAATTCTTGAGGTAACATCACTCCAAACAAGACAGCAACAGGATATTTGAAAAACTCAATTACTAGCCGTTTGGCAGAGGTAACAAGATATTGTTTAGCAAAAGAAATTTTGAAACAATTCTCACCAGACAAAACAGCAACAGGAGGACAAGGCCCATGGTCATACATCATATCATTCATTCTCTCCCAAGTAGCTTCATGATCTGAGTATTTAAGTCGATAAACAGATTGATCTCTCTCAAGAACATAAATGTAGTCACCAAGAGCCACAGCAGAAAAATATTCCCCTGATCCAGGCATGTTCTGGAAAATTTCAATAAATAATATTGCATTGAAGAAATCGTTGTCAAATGTAGATACGGATGAATGGGTGTGGCGGGATGAGAGAATCTAATCCCATTCGAATATTCGTCCTAAAAAGGCCTTGTCCACAGATGGCACTTCATGCCAAGCGTTAGGAATACGCTCTCCACCTCATCTCTGATTACCCTGCACAGCAGCAGATTAAAAATCCATGACTGGATGGTTATGTGCAGGAGGATTGTTGGACTCATGGCCGATGTATGGTGGTTCACGTTACCACTGGTCGGTTACGGCTTCCTCCACCATCCAGTCAATGCTTGCAAAAAACTAATCCCATGCCCGACACGGACCGGTAAACGGACTAGACGCCATGGTTAGCCATATGATTAAGCTGGCTTATCAGCTTTCCTCTTCCTTGGGATAAATATGTAAATCTTATCACATACGTACAAGTCAGGTATCTGACTTTAAATTTATCCTGAGAAAGGGAAAATCAAAAGCTGATAAGATGGCCAAGTACAGTCGAAATAAAATAGGTAACGGATTAATACTATATGTGGAACCACCACAACCGTATCTTGCAATCCAATCGCATAAAAACACAAGCTTTGAGCATTTATATTTTATCATCTGGAGTAATAATGAGGACTAATGAATGATATTTTCTATGTATAATACGATTAGACTGAGATACCCTAGTTGACGGTTGTCAAATACTAACCTGCATTTTCGTCCAAGCATTATTCCGAGGATCAAAGCATTGAAGGCTCTTTGAATTACGATCAAACACTGCAACTGTAAAAAATAAAGTTGGTATCAGAAATGAAAAGCAAAAACAATAAACTATAGCATCGTTCGATTCAGGTCCAGACAGGTATATAGATTGTTTATTTTGTAAACTCCATAATACATACTAATTAACCAATCCATAGTTAGGTTAGTTTCTAAGTTCTAGGTAACAAATGGCATTCTGTATTGTCTACTTCTTAATTCAACTTACTTGCCTCCTTTTCTTCTTGTTTTATATTTGCAGCGGAGTGAACATTTGAGGCACCAACGTTTAAGCTGTCCAACATGGAAATGCATAGAGAGTGATAGCATTCCAGGCATGACTTCACCATTGGCTGAAACAACCAAAGTGCGTTATGTTATTACAATGAATGTTGAATGATATAAGAAAAAAAACTGTTTTCGCATAAATATAGACTAATGTCAACGAATCATTAATAGGACTGTTAAGGGTCTCTCGCTCTTAAACCCTTTTCAAAACTATTCCGACTTCGGGTTGAAGAAAATTCCTATTTCTCTCTACCTGCAAAAATCAAATTTGAAAAACAAAAACTTTCGCTTTGCCTATGCAAGCTTGAGCGTTGTGAATGGTCAGTTAAATTAGCGTTCTTTTGAGTGTATTCTAAAATTTTGACAATACACTGCTGATTTTTCGGCATAAAAAATATAAAGATTTCAACTCCGGCTTTGGATCCTGGTAATTTAAAAATGAAAATATTCCAACTCCGAGTCCACAGTCATGAGTTCATGGAAATTCTAATATTATGTTCAAATATCCTAGCAATAATGAATGGTTTCAAAATATCAATTTAATATAACTGACCTCGTTTTCAACAAGGAATCTTCTATAAGTCACCGGTACTTTATGCAAATCAATGTAGTTGTTCAATTTCTTCAGAAGTTTTTTGCGATTTCTTTGCTCATATTTTATCCAAGATATCAAAGCCTCGAGCTTGACACTCTCTGATGCCTAGAAAGAATATAGAACATGGGAATATTCAGTTGTATCTATTAATTAGACTATTGAATTGACAAATGCCCAGCATTCATGTAATGTGTTGGAAGTCCTTGCTTGAGTATTTATTTAATTATAAAAACTAGTGGCTAGCAGGCTAAACCAGACATTCAAGGGCAGGAAGGCCACTCCTATCAGCTTAACCGAGGTGGTTAAGCCAGGTTGTTTCTTATGATTGAGTGGCTGCTTGTATCATGGAAAGTTTACTTTGGTCAGCCTGAACTTAAAACCTTCCCCCAATGAAATGAGTGACTACTTGTATAAAGTCTTGTTCTGAAGGAAGGAGTGAAACAAAACATTACAAATACCTTGTTATCTTGTGACTTGATCAATCTAACAAATTCCTTTTCCTCTATTTCCTTGAAATCATCAAGAACAGCAATTTCTTCAAAATTATTCAGCTTGAACTTCTCGCATTTTTCCATCAATTCTTTGTAATTGTACAGGTTTGCTATTCTTTTTGTCACAAAGAATGATTCTGCAGATGATTCGAGATTTTCTTCAAGTGATTCAACGATGCCTCCACAGACATCTGTTATAATAAAACAAACTTCTTACATATTGCTATTTGGTAGCCTTTCTTTGTGATGTAGTGGATGAATACAGGGTGAACCAAAAAAAAAAACAGAATCCATGCCGGACATATTCTAGAGCAGAGGTGGGCAAGATTTTTTGACCGGGTGCCAAAAATTTTGCCAATCTAGACTGGCGGGCCATGTAAGTGTGACGTAAACTTACAATTTATGAGCAATATTTACAGTGTTACAAAAGCAAAAGTGGAATGCAATAAGCCCCGTGTCGAAACTAAATTTAATCGCAATCTCAACAAATTCCTTGAGCTATTATTAGCCAAAACATCAAAATTTGGTTTTAGTTTGATTCTGGCAGAATCAGGCAGGTCAGATTGAATTACCCAACAGGCCAGATTTGCCCCGCGGGCAGTAGTTTGCCCATGTCAGTTCTAGAGAGAACATAACTTCTGTGCAAAACGTCCTAATTTACCGAAACTTTTAATTGCAATCATCGAATCACATAAATAGAAGTGGAGCATTGAAATAATTTTTTTTTCATTTAGGTAAAAGTAACCATGTTTGACTTGAAAATTGATAAATAGTGACATGACAAATTAACTGAATTAGATCAAAAATAAACAAGTCTGTATTCAGTAAAAATGGCAACTGGGGGCAATGAGAAACTGGCCAGGATAACGAAAGAAATGCAGGCACTCGCAAACCAAATATCTCCATTTGCAGGGGAGGATTGTCTAGTTAATTTAAATCACAGAGGGATAAGTGACTTTTGGTACAATCCAGAAGAAAGATCTATTTTGAATCATCACCTTTCAACTGCAGTAATTCAGCCACGTACATCAAAGATTCAGCATTTTCATTAGTAGTAGACAATTCACCAGTGTAAATATATTCTATGCATTGTTGCAGGGATAATGGATCAACTTCTTTCATTTCCACTTTACCAGACGCTGTCTCAGCATTCTGAAGTGTGATAATACCAATGATTAAAACCACATTAACAAAGGTAACAGTACTAACTGTGAGAGAGTTAACTCAAACAGTTTATTGCTGAGAAATCACATAAACATGAATAAATACAACTCACATTATGAGCCAGCA